CGACGTGGAGCAAAGTGTTGTCGGCTGGAAGGAACAGAAAATATCGGCGGAACGTGCAGGTATCACAATTTTCTAGGGTTGCAGGCGGTACACAGGGTGCTCACGATATATCTGGCGTAAGCCTATCGGCGTAAAAGCCATTATTGTCGGGGGGTCACCCTTGGTGGGGTTGAAAAGGCGAAAGAGATCGGCGTCGGGGGTTGCAGGTCGTCGCCTTGCTGTGCCCAGATGCCTTCTAATGGCCTTAATGAAGTGTGTACGCACCGTGTGTATGGAGTTAGAACGCGCAACGACACTAATTTTTAAGCATAATCGTACACTCAGCTTCACAACGTGTGAACGGCAGCGAGTTCTCAAACCGTCCGCGTCGCCGGATCCCGTTTCTGCGTCTTCGCGCGGAATTTTTTTACGCCGCGGGTGTCCACGAGAACGTTCCATTGAAGTTTTGGGAATACTCTGACCAGAAACTTCCCTGTAATTGGCTTCATTTTTTCTTCTTCTTCTTCCTCTTCTTTTCCTCCACCTTTTTTTTTCTCCATTATTTGTCGCCTGCCCGGTACGGGCTTTGTTAGTTTGTACGATTGTGTTCCATCTGTCGCTACGAATTTCCATCACGCGGAAATTTGGAACATTTAAACCCCGACGAATAATGGTAATGCTACTAGCAGGTGGTGCATTGGTGAGCGAAATTAGCGGCGAAATGTTTTAATGATCGATCGAGAGTAGACGTTCGCGAATCTACTGCGAGGAATTTCATCAACACAAAATGGCGCGCGCGCGCTCGCCACAGGTGATACGGGTGTGTGTGTGTGTGTGTGTGTGTGTGTGTGTGTGTGTGTGTGTGTGTGTGTGTAACCAGCAACGGAGCCAGTAATATCTTTGAAAATGGAATGATTTTCCACAAGATAGAGCGGTACACAATAGCTGTGTGCAATCGTATCACGGTGGTTTCGCGTTTTCGTACGGCATCGCGCACTGTTCTATTATAGCCCCAGTTTCGAGTGGCTCGATGCTCTTTAACGATCTGCCACGACGTGGATACAATTTGAGCGTCGCGAGAGAATAAAAAAAATCGTTGCACCCTTTCACGAAAAACAAACGACAACGCACTTTGTTTTTACGACGTAATTGAAGAAAATACACCGTGCACTTCGATTAATCGAAGATTCAGTGATGTGATATCAGAAAAGTTCTCTCTGCTGTATCCCACGAAAGATGGATATTTCCAAAGTACCAGAGAAACTCGAGGGCCGGTCGTTTCGAATGCGGAACGAGACGATCGAGGCGTAAGTAGTCCTCGATTCGGGGAGGAGTGTCGTCGGACGATAACGAAACGGGATACATAGTGGCGACGATCGCGAAAACAAGACGATTTCAGGTTCCGTGGGACGAAGTTTACCCGCGGTTAAACGTTATGCGCCGCGATTTCGCAGAGGGCCGTGGACAGTGCAATCAGTGGAAATCAGTTACTTAGCGTCTAATGAGTCGTTGTCGTTGGAAGAGAGAGAGAGAGAGAGAGAAAAGGCGTCGAGAATAGGTAGTAATCTCGACGATGGAGGTTTATCACCAGGCAGATGGACTAATTGATGTCATTCACGGTATCATTAATGCCGGTGTTCTCGGACGGTGGTATCAGCGTAGCTAGTGATTTTCACAAGCGGAGAAATCTTTTCAGACCGTGCCATTTCTCCCGACTTTCCGCTCCTCAAGAACAGAGACGAGGGAGCAGGATGGAAAATGGGAAAAATGAAGAGAGAGAGAGAGAGAGGCGGACAGAATAGAGGGCAGAGAGAGGGTGACAGACACGAGAACGTGTGTGTGTGTGTGTGTGTGTGTGTGTGTGTGCAGCGGCGGGAAAGAGAGCGAGAGAAGAACGCAGACGTGTTCGTGGGTGTCGAAGGCGGGAAAAGAGGGTGTAGGAGGGTATAGGAGGGGATGGAAGTATGAAGTGAGCATATTACTATTGAGAATAAGTACCTGGCTTCGAGATGGTGGCTGTGCTCAGGGGGAGAAGGTGGAACGAGGCTGAAGTAACGGCACACGGGGGTGGTACGTCGGGGGTACAAATGGGGTGGTACAATGGGCACTAATGGATCTCAAGCCGCCGCGAGAGGCGCTGCTTTTAATCTAATTGTCCTTCGTAGCCGTCGCGATCGCGATCAGTGGTATTCAACTCTGATCCCTCGTCCACCGCCCCTTAAAACATACGATTATACGCGGCGAAGAGGGAAAAAAAAAAAAAAAAAAAAAAAAAGAAAATAAAAGGAGCCGGAGTGGCGAAGATGAACCAGATGAGGCTCGTAGCGTGGGAGTGTCTCCCTCCCTCCCTCTGCACTTTCGGCTCTGCGTGGAAATTCTGCAACGACAGTTTGAGAAAAAAAAAAAAAGGAAACGCGGCGCCAACTTGTAATGTGGCAATTAAATTCCAACGAATAATAGACGTTTATTAAATTCCTGTAATGGACCGTTTTTATTAAAAGTTCATTACACCCGGAATATTCCAAGTCCAGATGAAGAGTCCTAGCAACTCGTGATTTTTCACGCCGGCAATGTTTCACGCGAAGCACCGCGGCGCCGCGCCGCACCATCGTGCTGCATTGCACACGGCACAAATGAAGTTTCTCGCGCGTCCTTTGTTCCCGCGTTTCATTCGTTTTTACCTCTGTGATTCGAACGCGACCGAAGAAAATATTGAGGTAAAAATTTTCCACCGATTCGACGAACATTTTGACAGTGGAGCGAGCGCAATTTTCCCAAAAGTGGTGGGGGGGAAAAAAAACATTCGTTCGAGCGCCTGGGTGTCGTTCAACCGCTGGCCGACTATCGATACCTAGCGCATATCGCACGGTGACAAGCATAGGTGTGAATGCTTACGAATCGACACGGTGAATGGAAGCAGGGCGAAAGTGGACCCGGAGCGTTCCTTTCTCCTTTTAGAGGTTCCATTTAGCGGAACTTTACGGCATTATGCGGCGTACTCGTTGAGCTAAAACGCAAGGGGAGAGGAATTTCGAAAGCACGCGAGGCCTGCTCTTTCTAATGTTGCGAATATAAAATGTCTGCAAAATATATATCTCGAGCGTCGCGCGTTTCTTTCTCTAAAACACACCGCTGTATCCTCAAGATCTTCAAGATAAAGAGAAGATAGGGGTAAGAATCTTTAAGAACCTCGTTGAAAAAAGAACGCGTTTACGAAACTTTGTTTTGAACTCTTGGAATTCACAAAGACTCCAATCACTCGATCGTGAACCCTAAAAATATTCCATCGACGAGATTATGAAACAAAGTACCTGAAACAGATTCTGCCATTGCGAACAGAAGAGGCCAGACACGAAAAAAATGGGAAATTGAACGAAGAAACGAGACTGAAACATCGCAACAGAAAAGCTCGGTCAGGAAACAAACCACAACGTTTCCCGCAAACCGACGGCATTATCTGGTCGATCTTATCGGGACACGACGATGACGATCGTCCCGGTGGCGCAGGTGGCGCAATAATTACTTCCTCTCGGTGCTTTTGCTTCCCTTTACATCGTGCCACCGGCGCTCGTTCAATAACGATAACGATAATTGTCGCGCGGCGGTGTCGTCGCTACGCGCCTCGTCCTTACCGAAGATAAATTCCTGATAAGGCGGATAAATTGGTTGGATTGTAATTGCCGTTGTGCGTGTTATAGCGGCGGGATGAGCGACGTATGACGGAGAGACGGTGGCACGTGGGGAAGGCTAACCGGCGAACAGAGGCGAACGGGTGGCGCGATTAAACGCCACCGTTGATGTTTACATCGAACGAGTCCGTGGGAATCGAGCCCGCCCCGTTTGCGTAGACGAGGGCGGAGACCCAAGCGTTGGCCAGCTGCCTGATCCAGAATTCAGGAAATCGTCGTAACGACGCCGAACGTCGAATCTTTTCGCGATTAATGACACGGAAGCGATTTTGTCGCGTGTTAACCACGTTAACTCCGTGTTCTCGCACACGGTGAGGAACGGTGGGAGGGGGAGGGGAAGAACTGCACAAGGGGGCTGATTTTGCAGACGAAAATTACGTTCGTTATCGTTGTTATTTCTGGGAGTTGTGTCACAGTGTGCGTGACGATGTGAGTTTCGATCGAAAGAACCACGAGGGGGAAACAAGCCTGATAGAAATATCGGAATTGAATTATTTATCGGTTTAACAGATAAGGGAACGTATGATAGATATTGATTTTTGTTCGAGAGAAGTCGGTTTGAAAAGTTTTACGGGGAGCGAGGGGCGGCGGGGGGACTGGAGAAATGACAAGTTGATAAATCTTAGTAGTGTCATATATTTCTCTCGAGATAATTAATTAGCTACATATTTACATGAAAGAAACTATACGTTATCTATATATTTATAATATATGCACGTTTGCGTATAGTACATGTTATGTTACAAAAATTTTTCGCTCGCCAGTTGATCGTGTCTCGCGGTTTCTAAGAAACCGGATCGTACGAGAAAGTTTCTGTCCAACTGAGATTGTTTACGCTCGCCTTGTTAACACTTCGAAAAAAATGTCGCAAACGATCCGAATGGTTTTGACAAAAATTACTGCTTCGAAATCTAGCAATTTCCAAAACCACGCAGTCGTCCACGATTCGCCACTCATGAGCCAATACCTTCGATATTGCGTTTCTACTATATACTCATAATCGCTAGAAACAATCCTCGAGGAATAAAAACGACGACAAAAGATTTACCACAATTCGGTAGTAACAAAAAGAAAATACCCTGAATCGTCGACAAACCGCCAGCGGTTCCAACGTCGACACTTTCCCCGTCCTCGACTCGAATTGAACGTCTCTGTCGAATGACTCGACGGACGACTAGCGTTATTCGTCTCGTTCGAAGCGAATGACCGTAACGAAATTCCTCGAGTTCCACTCCCTCGAGTCTCTCGCTTCGAAGCCTCGGTTCTCCACTGATTTCCACTTCCCATTCGTATCGTCGGGAAGTCGAGGCATCCGGTATACACTAGTATCTCTTCGTTCGTCAGCCTCCTTCCCTCTCGATCCTCTTCATCTGTATTTATGTACATCGTGAATCACCGTCGCCGATAAATCACCCCACATTCCGCAGTTAATTATCCACCTTGCGTAGAACTTCCTCCGCCTTCACTCTGAGCACCTCCGCGCTCTGCCTCCTGATCTCGTCGTCGGACGAGGCCGAGTCCTCCTCCTTGTCGTGCTTCGAGCTGAGATTCTGCGGCAGGCTCTGCACGCCAAGGTTCAGCGGGTGTCCAGGTATGTGACCTCCGAGCGTGTGCCCGTTGACGTTGTTGTGATTGAGGGTGGAGGCCGGGTTCAAACCGACCGGCAGAACCGTGCTAAGGGACGCCAGGTTCTGCGGAAGGGGTAGCCCGATGTACTGCGACAGGATGGCGTGCAACGGGGGCAGCTTGGGCGCGCTTGCCGGCCACGGCGGTGGGAACACCGGCGGGATGAACCAGGGAAACGCGCCCGTTGGTCCTCCCGATGGATCCGCACCTGGCACACCGCCGGCGGTTTGAAGCAGGCGGGCGTGAAGCGACAGCTCGTTGACACCTGCAATCACACCGTTTTCTTTTTTTTTTTTTTTTTTTTTTTTTTTTTTTTTTTTTTTTTTTTTGTTTTGTTGTTGTTTTTCTTTCTTTTTTTTTTTCCACGGATTTCAGTTCGGTTGCGAAAGTTGTTTTTCGACCGCCGCGGGGGTTGCTCCGCATTGGCCGCTGGAAAGAATTAGCATCTCGCGATCCAACTGCGTCTTTGTTCGTTCGATCGTTTGTCCAGAATCAATTGGCCGTTCGTTAGGTGCACTGGCGTTCTGATCGTGGCGTTTGTTCTATCTTTCTTTTCGTTTCGGCTGCGTTTCGTTTCCACGCGGTGCTCGGTTGTAATGACGTTGGGAAAAGAGACTGGAAGAAATTGTGTTGGTCTGTATATGATGTTTTATGGAGGCACCGTATTCTGGTAGACTGAACGTTTCGTCGAGTAATGTGAGAATGTTTCGTCGTCAGTAGACGTGTGTATGTGTGTTGAAACAGAACTAAGTGAATGTGACACTATCCTATTTTTAGCAAATGGAATTAACCACATTCGAACTAATCTTCAATGTTTAATCTGTTTGAATCTATTAGAATATACATTCGCTAAACTTTATAAATTTTCCAAACACCGTAATGAAATTACCTGACCTTGAACAGCCAGTTGATTTCGGACAGAACAGATCTAACAATCTAACAAAAAAAAATTTGACAATCGTAGACAAGGGTGATCTGTTTTTTAGAGAAACAAAAATTTGTCTCGTTCAGATCGCTGGCCGTGTAATTACGACCGATCGGATCATTCGTGAAAAATTAAACGATCAAGCACTTTTCTCGCTTGTGGTAACTACGACGGTCGACACTGGAATTAGGGGTAATTGGCGTTGATTGCATCTACCGTTTCGCGACTCTTCTTCTCGCATATTAAATCGGCAGACCATCCGCGACGAAATAAAAAGTCGAACGGAAAACGATTCTTAGAACTTACCACTTTGTTCATGCATGAAACTGGTATCTCTGCCGAGCACCTTCTCCTTCTTGCGCCACTTTGCACGACGATTTTGAAACCAGACCTGCAATCATTTAATTTCGCCGTTTGAAATTTCGTTACTTGCAATGCTCTCTTTGACAATTCATTCGATTGCCTCATTTACTGCCACTTAAGGAACAACTATTACGTAGAAATGAATATCTTTTGAAATTTAAACCGGAAAAGCTGAATGAAACATTCTTGTCAAAAATTAAAATCTTGAATTGAGCAAACCTCGTCGAAACTGTAATCTACGCGAATTTTTCTCGCTCGAATGTTTTATTCGGAAATAGCTACCACTGAATTTTCACGTGCCTGGCCGAAGGCAAAGGGACAGCCTGGCTGGCGTAAAACCATCGAATTATTTCTTGGAAGAAAATACGCGCGAGCGACGCATGAGAACCCCAGCCGGCCGTATCAGAACCAGCCAACAAAAGCTTGCTCTCGAGGTTGATTAAGCTAATTGTTAACAATTATCCTGATTTCCTCCGTACCCCCGAGTGGCAGCAACCCCTGCCCTCGCACCTCGCCGCCCCTTCGAAAACCCCCGGCGCACCGTTACCGCCTGGCCCCGTTGCCATATAAATGCTTTCGCTTTCCGCCTGGGCTGCTCTGATTTTTCGTGGCCACTGGCAGACCCCGCGAGAAACAGACGGAGAGAACGAGGGAGAGATTACATTTTACATCCTGTCTCCATTGTGCGGAAAATCCCCGTGCTTTTCAGCCGACCACGTTCGCCGCTGCCTATCCGACGATACAGCCACTTCTGACACTTGCTATCGTTTCTACTCGAAATCTATTTTTTCTGTACGAAGATCTCCCGTGATCTAGTTCAAGAACGATCGAACAGGGACTTTGATTCGAAATATGTAATTATCTCGAATGATATTAGACACGAGGATTGAAAGAAAATGAGGAGAGAGAGAGAGAGAGAGAGAAGTTTAACGTGGAAATATTTCGAAAGAGAAATTGGGAATATCGTTGGTGGTAGCTAGAAATTGAGGGAAGTTTTGAAAGTGACTTGGAACGTTCAGCTGAAGGAAGGAGGGAGGGAGAGAGGCCGGGGAAGGAAATTCAATTGCCTAATTGCTGTTAATTATTTAATCGCTCCTGAATACCCCGCTAACGCCTAAGTGCTCGCAAACCTTGCAGCGCGTCGTTTAACCGACCCAACGCGAACCCGAAAGTTTGAATCCCACCCCACGGTCTACACGGGTCCGTACAATCTCGGTGTAACGTTTCCACCGCCGTCTCCGCCGCAAATTTCCTGTCGACGCTCTCTCTTACTTGTTGAAAGCGCCGGGGAGCCAACATTTTTCCTACGTCCTTCGAAATTTTTTCATCTATCCCCGGCGACGCGACGTTCTAATCTCGTGCCTCGAGACAATAGGCATGAAAAGAAAAAAGAAAGAAAGAAAGGAAACGAGTCGTTCAACCTGTTAGACGGTTCGTTCTTCGACGAGGAACGAAAGTTAGAATTAATTTGTTTTTAATCGAATATAAATATGATGTAACTCGTTATCAACTGAAAACCGAAACGTAAAACAGATTAGAACACCTAATGAAATTTTTATGGTCAATTAGCGATCCTAATGAGAAATTAAACGGCGTTCCTTTTGCGTGTTACAGTGAACAGATTTGACACGAGAAGTCGTAGCGCAGCTACGAAAGATTTCACGGCACGACCGGCAAACTTTGCGCGTCTTTTTCGAAACGGGGGAATGTCTTTTGTTCGAGCTGCGATTAAAAGATCCCTTGGAATCGATAGGCAAACACGGTTTGACGAAAAAGCGAAAGCCAGAAGGCTGGATGGTGGCGTCTGGCGGCGTCTGTTGCGCGGGGAGCCGGGGAAGTGGGTGGCAGAGAAACGATTCGCGATTCCATTACCATGCTGGCCGATCGACGATCGAACACGATACATCGGCCGGCCATTAATACCGAAAAATGGGTAATTTCGCATCTGGAATTGAGGGCGGCGCGGGAGGAGGAGTAGCGGAGGATTTCCTAGATTGAAATAAAGTGGCCGTGGCACCACTGCGCCGCGGCGGATCATTTAGCGGTTTTGTCGAGCGACGGCCAATTGCCGGCATTGTCGCTTGGCTGTACCACAATGGGCCAATCGGAATGCTCTCTGTCTCTTTTCAACTGCACGCCACCCTTCGACGACGGCACCATCCACGACCCTTCTCTATACTCTACATACACGCACGTACACACACACACACACACATATCTATATATATATATATATAGATATATATATATCTATACATATATATAGATATATAGATATATATGTATATATACATACGTACGTACACACGGCTCTTTCTTACTCTCTTCCTCCCTCTTTCGTGATCAACCCCTTCTTCCGTCGCGCTTCGATTCACTGTCTCACTCTATCAGAAAGATTCCGCTCAGTCTCCTCGTCGCGCGTGCGAGCGAGGGTGCCAGGATGGTTACGCTAATCGAGTAACCGATTTCCATCCATGGAAAAGTCATAATTTATGGGAGCGCCGTCAATACCCCCGGCCTCACCCCTCTCTTTCAGCCATCGCCATCGTCGGCGACGTCGTCGTGTACCGATTCCACGTCACGTAATTCGGACTCGTTTCGCGGATGATTAAGTGGTAATGTCAGTCCGTACCCCGAGGCTGATATTTATCGGGGGGAGGGGGAGGTCTGTGATCGAATTAACGCGGTCAAAAGATTTCTTCCGAAGGGAACGAGTGTCGTAAAAACTATCGACAGGCATCGAGATATCGAGAACCAAGCAGTTTTCCACTAGACTTTTTTTTAGATCGAAATTTAATCGACTCGACTTTGCAAACGTCACGAGGAAACGACGCGCATTAAAATATCGCATCGACGCGGCGTTTCATTGAACCTTCCGACTGATTAAACTGGTTTATCGTTTGAAAATCGCGATTGTTCGTGTAAATATCTTTCCATCATTCTCTCGTTTGTTTTGTTTTCTCCTTTTTTTCTTTTTATTCGCTCTTTTCTTCTTTCACTCTCCTTCGTTCTACTCTTTTTTGTTTCTTTCTCCGTTCACTCTTCTCTTTTTCTTTTTTTCTTTTTTCTTTTTTTTTTTGTGTTCTTTCATTTTCCATCGACGTCAAAATACGTGCAGCTGGTACTCTCTCACCGACCGTTAAAAGGCGCGGCTGGAAAATAATTTCAAAGCAGATTACGACCCCGTACGCTCTTTACCGTTCGACTGGCTCGTATGAAATTAATCCGTGTAGCACCGAGTATGGTCTGGCGCGTCTTTCGCCAAATTACAGACGTCGAAGAGGAGCGGCAGACTTTCGGTACAATAGTGTGTAATTAGTTGAGAGACCCGTGCCGAGGTTGAAGCTCATTCACGGGGCTTTTCGCGTTCGAATATCAAGCTTGAAAAGCTTGCGGCGGCGCGTACGTCGTTCTGAAGACAACTCGGTTCTCAGCATCTTCGGTAAGAACGCAATTTTATCGAACCTTGGCTAACGCCGTTGCCTTCAACGTCAATGCATATTCAAGGAATTTTTCCCTTTCGATCGCGAGATAAGTTCGACGTGAACACGAGAACGCGGACATGGAATGATTAATTTAAAAATTGCACACGCAGAATTTCAATCTCTTGAGAAATTTAATTTGGGATGTGAGATATCTCTGCGTAATTTTATATTACGAATCCTGTCGAGGTAGAAAAATCTACGAGACGAAACAGCAAGTGGAATTTTTAATAACAACTACGTTTGCATCGATAATTCTAGTAACTATCCAGCTAGGAAATGTTTATTCGTCGTAGACGAGTCCCTCTCGGATTAAAAGTCAAGCTATCGAGCAACGAACGAAGGCAACAATCGATTTCAATCAAGTAATTGAACTCACCTGCACCCTAGCCTCGGACAGGTCTAACCTCATCGCGAGTTCTTCTCTGGTGAATACATCTGGATACTGTGTGTTCCCAAAGGCCTTCTCGAGCTCGTGCAGCTGGTACGTGGTGAATGTAGTGCGGGACCTCCGAACTTTGCGCGGCCGATCCGATTCTCCTAGGTTTAACCGGTCCGACTCCCCTAGATTCAAAGGATCGTGCAGGGCATCGTTTATCTGGTGATCGCTTAAGTGCCCGAGTTCCCCGTCTCCCGCATCACCGATAGCATCGGACGACGTCGCATGATCTGCAAACAACAACGAAAAGACTAATTACGCTTACAATTCGCCAACGAGACGTTCCTTTTCTCTTTCACTTTGCAATTCGTAGAAATGGTAATCGTGCAACACTGAAAAGACCAGAATCGAACTTGCGCTCGATACGTTTACGCAACATTTTGTGTATCTTTCCTCGCTGATATTTTAACCACTTGCGCTGGCAAGTAGATTGCGGACCATAACGAGTGACCGAACCGTATACAATAATTCGTCGCTTTCTTTTCCTTTCGAACTCGTCGGTATGATGTCACTGGACAGAAATTATCGAGGGGTAATAAATTTTTTATTTGTTTTGCCTGGGTTATACTTAAATAATATTTAAAATAATACTTAAAATTATACTTAAATATACTTAAAACTGAGAAAATGCAATTTTGGGACAAAAGATTCTCGACGTGCGTGGCACGTCATTCCGGCGCAAGAGGTCAAAACACGCGACGTTTAATTAAGAAAGGGTTCGATCGTTAGCAATATTCCTGGATACATCGCGACGTGCACGCTACTATGATGCAGAAGGAGCGAGAGATTCACCAATTGCTAGCGCCAAAGGGCCACGGACCGGTATTAAAGTTCGGATAGATACGCGTATCAAATCGCGCGGTTCTTCGATACTTGAACGGAAGAGAGGATCGGGGCGATTAAGCCAAATCGTCCGCGCTGCCAAAACGAAATTGACGTTCCGTTGATACACAGAGAGAGAGAGAGAGAGAGAGAGAGAGAGAGCCGGCGAGGAACAGCGAGGAGCGTAGCGTGAACAGTGGCGCGGAGTGAGGCAGGTCCAGGGGGATGTGTGTGTGCTGGGGGAGGGGGTGGGTGAGAGAGGAGAGAGAGAGAGAGAGAGAGAGAGAAGCAGAGAAGGGTTGGAGATGCTGCGGGGTCGGTGTGGGTGCAATTTCATTTTTAAGCCGCGCAACGACTGGGCGCCGATATACGCCCGATACGCCGATCATGTCCGATCGACGGATTTGCCAATTTTAAGCCTCACCCGGCGCTTCATTTTTTGTACATCCGCCTATATATGAAATATAACGCATCGATGCGAGCCTGTACATTATACGTACACGCTCGATAGTACTTAAAAACCGTTGCCGTCAGTGATTAGCAAATATCACGAGTGCATGTCGTACACCGGTGCCCCCTCCCGCCCCTCCGCCCCCCCCCCCGCGTTTCAAACCCCCTCAGGATGCAACCCCTTGCACGTAGCGAACGCGCACCACACGCGATCGTTTCTCTAACCCTTCCTTCTCCCTCTATCTAACTTTTATTGCCCCTGTCGCCTTTTTCCCCTCTCTTTCTCTCTTTCTCTTTCTCTCTCTCTCTCTCTTTATTTCTGTCTGCTTTGTGTCGTCTTTTCTATGAGCATCGGCGTCGACCGAGTTTAAAGAGTTCATTAGAGCAAACTGCATGCGAAAGATGACGTTTTTCTTTTCTTTTTTTCCTTTTCTTGCACGCTACTTGGAGGTGGAACAGATGCTTACGATTGCTTCAGAGGCACTGCGGCTGATACCTCCGTCGTTTACTGAGAAGGAAAGATTGTTGGAAAGAATCACATCGACTCACACTTGGCGAAGGCTCGTCCTCCCTTGTGCGAGATGCCTCACGATTTTGTGGCAAAGCCAACTCGATCGGGTAACTTGCGATTTGCGAAAGTCTCCTCTGCAATCTTGTTCGCGTCTCGTCGTTGGATTTTATTAATTTTATTAACAGCGGCGCTTGAATCGCATGCAAGAATCGTGCATGAATTCTAGGAATTCTAAGTTCATTAGCGGCGCGTTGTCTGATTTAATTCGTAACATTACGTTCCTACTTCGACTGGACAAGGCGACGCTTTTAATCTCGCCGACACGGGTCGACATCGGTCATGAAATTAGATAACAACACGATGACGATCACCCGGAGCTGACTTGCCAAGTTTCAATGTATCTGTCTCACATCCCTCGTGCGCCACTTGCATCATCCCCTTACACACGTTTGCTTGAACTAATTAGACGCGCATTTACTACTCGTGCGTAATAACGTTAATCCTACTTTTCGGTGCCGCTATAACCGGCAGTTGTGATAGATTGCGAACGAAGCGAATCGTTCGAACTGGCACGCATGTCGATTCCCTTTCTCTCTCTCTTCCTCACTCACTCACTCACTCACTCTCTCTCTCTCTTTCTCTCTCTCCCCCCTCTCTCTTTCTATGCAGACAGAAAGATAAAAACACGAGAAGGAGAGAAAGAAGTGATACGTGCGTGTGCATGTAATCGCACTAACATTTACGCAAACAACGTACGGATAATCCACAGTGAATAGAGAGATTTTTATGTTTTCATGCTAGGGCACAATGGGGCACCCACTTGATGCCTAACTCTCTGCTGCTTTATATTAAATCTACGACCGGCCGATAGGGGTTGCGCCGGAGAGAGGGTGCTGCCCGAAAAGGCAGTTCGCGGCGCGAAATTAAAGATTTATTTACAGTGCCACGATGACCACATGCCTCGGTCCGTCTTTTTCACCGATAGCAGTTCTGGAGAATTTTGTCCCTTTGGTTTTTCGATTTTTTTTCACAGAAAAGCCCGCCGTTGCGCTAAATATTCGGAGTAATACGGAAGTTTGAGCTGTGGAATCTTCTTTCAGGATTTCAGGAGTGAGAAAAAGAATATCACGTCTACGAGTGAAAACACGAGAGAAAGAAGAAAATAAAGCGCCGGGGGAAAATTAAATTGTGCGGAAGATTTAAAGCATTGAAATTTCGGGACGTTTCTCGCCAGAGAAAAAATATCGTCTGTCTGTGAATAAAAAACGTGGAAGATAGGGTACAGAAAGAGATTAAGTAATTATGAAAGATCGGACTCTGGACTTTAGGAAGCTTCCTGAACTTTGATTAATATTCTTCCAACCAGCGAAACGAAGATAGAAAAATTCCGTTCTTTTCGATCACCGGGTTAAAAGGGAACGAAATTCCCCGATTATTCTCCGAATACCACTCGATGCCGATCCAGATCCGAACGATCGAGAACCAGAACTTGTCGATCCGCAGGTGATACGCAGCGAACCGTATGAATGGACACTCGATACATGGCTATTGTCAGACGCATTAATTATGTTAGACGACTGTACGATCGAAATCCGCAAACACATCCTGATTTCTGCAGGCCACAATCGGGACCGGCCAATAATCGGTCCAGCCAGTACACAGTGATCATATCGACTGTATTCCTACTTGTGTGCTCGCACGTATCACGAGACGTATGTACGTATAACGCGCGTAAACCAATTCGCGAGTGTACGAAAACTCGATGAAGCAGAAAACGGTGGTAATTAACGACGATCCACGGAGGAAAATGGAGAAAGATTCCATCCGCTGCGAACGGAGACGGCGTGTCTCCCCCTTTGTATCCGGTAATTCTCTAAACGTTGCAGGTAACGAGTTCAGGGCAGGATAACCTCCGTACCACCGTCTCTTCCTGAACAAGATATATTTCGCTAGAACGGATTACACAAGGTCCGGCTTTACGCTGGAAAATCTAATAAAATCCTTAAGAGGGTTTACCGGTAATACGTTCACCGCTAAACTGGTCCGGATAATCCTTTACGGAGCAAAAAATCACCGCACCGCGGAGTATCTTCGCGGAAATTTAATAAGTGTAGCTTTACGCTTACGAGGTTCATTAATCTTCCACGGCGTATCACTTTGGCCGGCTGTGATCGGGTTTTTAAAATTGCCGTTCGTAGCGATTTTTCCGCCAAGACTCGTGCCGGCGCGGCGCGGCGCGGCTGCTACCGGGTGCTTCGCCTTTGCCTCGCTAATCGCTTTTATACTTTCATAATTGAAGAAGTGAAAACTCGTTCTTTGTAACGTGTTAATCGTTACGTCGCGTTTTAAAACGCGTCTTTTGATGTCGTGCCGTGGCGCAGCGGTTGCACGCGCGGCATGCCCGCACAGAAACGCCATAATTCATCGCGAAACGGCCAAAGGCAACACGTGGCGCGAAGAAGGGAACTACCGATATTGCACGTAATCGTTGTTTTTTTCTTGAGAAATCCATTGTTGCACACAGTTTAATGAAATAATTGCGTGTTCGTGCGTTCGCAGCGGCAGCTCTCGCGCAGAATAGGCTGGCAAACAAGCGTGCAACACGCTTGCAACGGCGCTTGGGACGCGTCGCGTGCTGTAAGTCACGTCGTAAATTTACATCAGCCGCTGATCCCCGCTACAGATTCGAACCTCGACCTAATTAGCCTTTTTACGCTCACGGCAATTAACGTAACGTACGCGTAACGTAAGCGGCGAAGCTAAGGAAACTGGAAATTTTTTTTTTCCATTTTCCAACTATAAACGCGTTGCGTATTTAGACGTAAATTGCGAGATAGGTAAGTAAACGGCAGTGAACTGTACAGGCGATCGATCGGATCGATCGATGTAAAACGATTTTAAAAATCGGTAGAATCGGTCATTTGCTAAATTGCCATACAATTACGTACGGCCTATCTGATGCTCGGTCTCGCGATGGGTTAAGATAGATAACCCACTTTGTTTTAGTTAGAAGGAAACTTTTTTTTTTATTTTTTATCGCAATCGCGGCCAGATCGATGCGACAGTAATAAAATGTTGGTAAATGAGACCTTAGTTTACTTAACGATATTAGATACTAGATAACAATGCAATATTGCTCGGCTAGTTTATCGAAGGCGCGCGGGTGTTTTACGGTGGGTAAATAGAAACTAACAGGTCACGATCGTTTCGTCTTTAACCTCGCGGTTATTACACGGTAAGATCGAGTAAACGAGACATTAATTAGACATTAATTTGATTTTTATTAAGCGTACGGTGTAGAGTAATTTGAGAGCCCCGCGCGACTTCGATCTAACGATCTTGGAGCAGCTACGATCGACGACGTTGATTCTAATTTTAATCGTCGTTTCGAGAAGCGTGTAGCGAGAACAAATAAAGATCTTACCATCCTCTTTGCCGTGTCCTAATATCTGGTCGATGCTGTACACGTTCCTCTTTTGGTTGTAAGTTTGCGCCATGCTTATTGCAGGACGGCAGCGTCGCTTTCCGCCTTTCCCAGCACTGTCGCAAGATAACTAAAAGCGACGACTTTCGTTCACGAGACAGTTCACTAATGACCGGCGGCAGGGGGGAGGGGGAGGGGGTCTTTTCGTGGCCCCGATGGTCCGAAAATCGTATTTCCCGCTGCTGGCCCGCGGATAGATGGAGCTTCGTCGGAGAAGGTTCTTTTTGGCGCGAGCCAGAGGAAACGTGAACACACGTCGCGCGGAAGGAAGCGCGCGCGTGAAATGTAACCGAACGAATCGACGAAGAGCCGCAGGGGGGAAACAGAGAAATAGACGAAGGGGAAAAGGAAAGAGAAAGAACGACAGGAGCGATCGACTCGTTCGCACACGTACTCTCTCTCTGACTTCCGAAAGAAAATGCGTCGACCGACGGCGCACCACGAACTGGCTCGTCCGACATGAAAGCAGCCCTTAATATCGCACACAGGCGCCCCACCTTGCAACCCCTAACACCGCCATATTAGCCTCCCCGCCAATGGGGACGCACGCTTCTCACCCAAAGCCACCCCGTACTCGGAGGTTGAATGAGACCTGGGCGGGGAATATTTTGCCCTTTCCGCGTAAATCCCCGGATTTTTTTCCACCTCCTCTCCTACCCCCTCCCTATTCGAATCTTCCTCCATCTATCCGATTCTCTCTCGCCCTCTGCCCGTCTTCCTTCATCCTGCCCCCGTCCTATACGTCCGTCCCTTTGCCTGTCTTTCTTATCCACTTCTCTCCCTCTCTCCCTTCTTTTCGGTTTCGATCCATCGCCACGATATTTTCTTCCTCTGTCTTAAGAAGAATGTCGGATTATTTACCGCGTTCCTCGGATCTACGTAAATTCCTTCGCGATCGCGAATTAATCTTCCTCCAGCCGCGTGAATTATCTGACCGAAAGAGGAAGCGTGTTCAGTGATTTGTTTTCGAATTTTTCTTTGTTCCTTCTCCATCGTGTTTCCTCGAAAGGGAAGTGAAGATTCGAACATGGAGAAACTCAATTTCGTTTGATTTTCTCCATGTTCGATCATCAACACGATCATCACTTGACAGTGTAACGTAACGAATCTTTCTTTTAGTTGATACGGACAAAGTTCTTGATGAAAGCCTCGGACAACCTGAGAAAACATTGGAATCCCACCTTGGCCTTTCAATGCAATGATGAGAAACAAGGGCAGGCCCAGCCACGTGAACAAACTATTCAAAAATTTGCCAGCGATCATCCTTGCTTATTCTAAGACAACGCCTTTCCAGGCGTAGCCTAACTAAAATCACTAATCTAATCTGTTAGGTATTGTTCAGGTTCTTGAACGGTCCAGAACAAGGACCGTTCTTGAACGTCCGTGTCACTTTGCAACCACTATCCGTAATCCTCAACGGACAGGTCTGTTGTTAGCTCGAAGAATCTCTGTGAAGAGTTTCGGCCATTTTTGAAAGATCGTTGCTAACGCAGTAACGATTGTTTCAACGAACTGATCTGTCGTTCAGATAATCATAAATTTGCGTTTTACTTCAACGTAGACACAACAAAGGCTGTTGTTAATAAGCGATCGATAGATCTTTTCGTAGATCTCTTGTCTCTGGAAGTCACAGTCTGAACTTTCATGCCATTTTAGAAGCACTTACGCCGTTTTGAACGTCCCAGATTGCGAGAAATTTTGAAAATGCGATCATTGGATTAATTGTTTTAACCGAACTGAGAACGTTTGTGGAAACTATCTTATTTGTGTAAATACAACTTACAAAAAAATGGAATCCAGACAGAGATCTATTTCATACGCCAGACATCGTTACACGACACTTTGTACATTTCATATATTTTTACTTATTGCGTGCAATTTTATGCATTCACGCGCCTTTAAATTTTCCGTACAATGCACAAACAGCCGCGCTGGATTTACGAGAGAGTGATTCAACAACTAAACGTCCGCTAATAAGGAAAAAAAAAAAAGAAAGAAGGATTAAAATCGTAATCAAATTTCATTTCGTTTTCAGCGACCTTTTAACGTGATTTTTCGGACGATAACATTACAGGAACGCAATAAAGATGATGATCGTAAACGGTTTATCGGACGGTAAATGAGAAACGAGGCGAGTGTTCGAATATCTTTTACGCCCGGGGGGTGAAATAGTTCGTTTCTCTTAATTTAATGTTTGTCTCCGGCGCGTTTGCGTGTAATTTTACAAAATACAATCGCCATGCGGCCGACGACGCAGAGCCCGGTTAAACGAATTTAACGGACTCGTGCGTTTAACAAAGTCGCGCAATTAAACGGTTAAATTCCATACAATCCGAGGGAAAAATTTGATCGTTACAGGAGAGTGTGCCGATTCGCCGATCGAATATTAAATTTCCGGGATTTATTTAACCAAACGGAGTATCTTCCGTCAATCACGTAAAGGTGTGGGTGTACAGTGTGTCGCCCCGTTCCTCCCCTTTTGTATAGTGGACTTTATAATGCAAATAAACCGTTGGCAGAGGGGCAAGCGGCCTGGCCCTGGGTCACTGCTCCGCGTTTCGTCACGCTACAAACCAGATTTTTAGGAATATCGCGGCACCGTATCGCCGAAAAAAAAAAAAAAAAAAATACCTCTTACACGGATGATTTTGGAAACAGAACGCTTTGTCGACGAGAAACGACGTCATGGTTTTACATACATACGAAAGCAGATTATTCGGTGCAGGGGAGGAGATCGACAATGCACGTGAACGTTATATTAAAAAAAAAAAAAAAAAAAAAAAAAAGGGGAAAAAAGGATGGAAAATTCATCTTGCGCGTGTAAAATGTATAGCCACGGTTAGAGTTAAAATTCGATCGGGGAAACGATGATTTTCAATGCAATATATAAATATGAAATAATTATCGCGTCGTAATTGGAGGTTTAAGTATGCATATGCTTTTAATGAGATATTCGTCCGGAGCTGAATGTCACGTTTGAAAGAAAAAGAAGAAAAATTAAGCGACACGATCGAAACCGGTCGATGTATCTTCGGGAACGATCTGAAGGGAAATAGGATCATCCCCAAGGCGGATGGTAGAAAACTGTTAATGCCATACAGATGTTAAGTCTTTGCCGTGGGTCAGTGAACATTTCGGATGTATGTATAGGATGTATTTACAGAGATAATTGAGTATGCCGATTTTCCTGCGTTTCTCAGTTAGCAGATAAGATTATCCAAATGAAACGTCTAAAAGGTTGTAGATGTAGAATGTAGAAAATATACGTGCCAAATGTACGTATACACATAATGCTCAATATACTCATTAGTGTTGTTTAACAAGTAGAACTAACCACAGTCCTATTTTTCAAATTGCATTCGAGGAATATTGAAATTTGCATAAATATTCGCAGTCTATTAGTCACTTTGATTTGTACGACGTAATCGAATCGGAAACACTGGAGGTACGATAGCGTAGAAACGATTTCCCTCCGAATTGATGCGAGTGAACCTGTTTTTGTTATTTGTTTGCGCTGCTCGTATATATGTATATAGCGTATAAAAAGTTAAATGGGGAGGGCCGCGATGTCGAATGAGATATCGAAAAATGATGAGTGAACAATTTTTCAATAAATACAACAAGCAGATCCGCGACGGATCAGTGACACAATAAACGTTGGCAATGAAATGACGCACGATGCGCATTCCTGCAGACCTGATGTCGAACTGTTCCCGATTCCGCAGGGAACCGGCAGAGCCAGGTAAATTTCGAGCAAACTAATTAACATTTATCCGGATATTCCCAGGGTTGAACCGTTTTCCTCGAGCCTTCTCGAAGAACATTTCAAAACGCTTTAAATCCTCTTTCTACCCTCGTCGCTTTTTCAACGTAGAAACAAATAATCTCTCTCGTTAATCGACATTAATCATCGAGCAAATTCTCGAACTAACGTCGTTCAATAACAGACACATTTCCTCTCGGTACTAATCCGTTCACTGTTAATGTATATTCACCTGTGTACACCGCGATCTCGATGTGAGATGAAAATGAAAAAAAATTCGAAAGAGAGTTTCATAACATTGCGTGTAAAGCAAATTTGCGATGAAATAGAATTTTTATATGGAAACTATTCGCGGCAAGTAGACTGCGTGATCAATGAAATGGAACCTACGCGAAGATTTGTAATTCGCTGTAAACATCGTAACTGTACTCTGAGCGTTTGACATATTTTCGTAAATATTCGTACATTCTCACGCAGTGAGATCTAGCCAAAATTTGATCAGGGATCTTTCACCTAACTCAGAATATTAATGATTCGACAAATGCCACTTGTAGTTACTGACACCTATTAAAATTTGCTTCATCGTCACACTTGTTACTTGCACAAGCAAACACTTATTACATTAAATCTCGATGGCTTAGAAAACGTCAATTACGAAGGGAGGATCCTAACGAACCGTTGTTAAAATTTTGCATCGGCGAGCGTGTGTTAATAGATGAAATCGAAACCTGCGAAAACGGGCTACGTTTCCTACGAGGGAGTTTTCGTTTCTCTTGAAACGGCCAGGATAAAAAAAGCGAAAGACGTACCTTTGATACGAGGCTTGGAGAGAAAAAGAGAAAAAAAGAGAGAGAGAGAGAGAGAGAGAGTAGTAGCTGATAACTCGTGGGTGTAATTGTTATATCATGAATCCAAGCAAGGGTGGGTAAGGGACGAATAAAGAAGGAGAGCGGCAGTAAAGGGGGGGTTGGGAAGGGACAGGAAAGAGAGGAGGAAGGCATGCGAGGCGACGCTCTACAATAGGCAACATTAAATCTGCAAAAGAGAGGAGATTCTCTGCCGCGCGCGCGACGGTACGCGTCACGGGGTTGAGGCAGTGGAAGAGGGGGATGGAATCGGGCGTAAAGGAAGCAGATACAATTCACAATAGACCCGACGAACCGGCTCGAAGATCAAACGCCAGCCCCTTGGCAAGAACTACCGACGCCTATAACCGGCGCGCGTCTTCGAGTGTCGAAAGTTCGGTCGTATCCCACCCTCCTCCTCCTCCCTCGCCCGCTCCTCGTGTATTTGCTGGACGACGACGAAATAAGGCTAATTCGATCGCGAGCAAACCAACGAATGAAAAATAAAAAAAAAAAGAAAATAAAAAGCTTCCAGGAAAGAGAAAGAGAAAGAGAAAGGGAAGAGAAGAAATCGCGAGATCCTCTCTGTCTACCAGCTTCACGCTGCGGTAGCATTGTATTTCATTAGCGTGGCGAATAATGGCGGCAGGGAGTGGGGAGGAGAATCGTTCCGGTAGTTTAATTCGCCCGAATATAAAAGAGATTCCAGTTCTCGTTCATTTCCTAGTTTTCCTTTCGTTATCCTTTTTCCACCCCCTGCCCCGTCCACGCCGCTTTATTTTCTTCTATTTCTTCCACGTTTTTATTTTCGCTTTATCG